GTGGGGGGGGGGGGGGGTTTCCAGACGCAAGCCTTCATATTACAGTAAACTACTAAAACAACCATTTACTAGAAACCATGAGTAATTGTACTGTCAGAATTAACACTTACTCTGATCGTAAAGAAGCACACTGGCCATGATTTCATGTCTTCACTTGAAAAAGCAAAACTGACATGTAAAGTTAAGTGTTGCTACATACAGTATAACGTCATTTTAAAAATGTTACAGACCCTTTTATTTTTTTGAACAAGCATCAACATGAAAATGAGAAACTTGCTGCACATGTTCACAATCTACTTTACTGAACACAATCAGAGAAGCATCATCAGCCTTATGGTCATATGTCAAAGACTCTGCATCATGTTTGAGGCTGCACCTTATGCTGTTGAATTGCATTGCATTATCCTGAGAAGTGTTTCTATTATTTTGTCCAAACAGGGTCGGATAAATAGCAGAAACACTTGCAGAACAGTTCACAGCAGCACAAGCTACAGCCTTGAAGCAGCTTGTAACACCGACGCCTCACTAAAGCAGCTTCAACACAATCTGACCACAGTCATGAAGCATTTGGACCTGCAGGGAAAAGTCCGCTGGGTTTGTATTTCCCATTCACATGCTGCTTGAAACGAGTCTTAAGTAAACTAATGCCAGAACAATCTGAGATATAGCCTGTAATCATTTTATTTCATTTAAATCATGAATACAAATAAGCACGTATATTGAACTATACATTAGAAATCTAACAATATAAATAATGAAATCCTCTGTCACCCATTAACAACATCAAAATTTCAGAATATATTGGAAAAACTATTACATTAGCTTTGAACATGACTATAGGTTATAGCCTATATGTGATGGCACACGTTAAAGTTCAGTTTTCAGTGCAAAGGTCCTACACATGAGATAAGGCAAAAACTTTCTAGAAAGATTAAAAACTATACAAACACCGTTTAAAGACAAAAGTACGTTGACAGAATCTATAGGAAGGCCTACAGGGGCATACAAAACACGTGTTGGTCCCAGTATAGATTACTATTGGCTAGTATAAGTATTCATACATTACCTTGGTTCTCATAATAGGAGGCGGCCTGTTAAGTGTTCTGTCATCCCCGTTAAGGGCTAAAGAACACAAAACTAAAGCATTTGATCCAAAGGTTCCCCAGTACTCCTCAACCTTTCATTCTTGTGAATAGATGAATGGCTACAATTATAATATAGGCAGCACAGGCTATGATAAAAATGATTTCAGTTATCTCGGTCTTCTCTGCTCCATCCCATTGGGCAGAAACCCTGCAATGATCGGGACTGGCCATATGAGAGCAGCAACACTCCACACGATGATGACCAAAGTCATGAAACAAGCCACAAGTGTCGACTCGATGGGCTTCCTGTTCAGCCTCCAACTTTTGTCCCCCTTCAGCTTATCGAGGCTGAAATCCACGCAGCAGAAAGTCACCTGATCCCCGGTCTGCTGGCTCCTCGACCTGCCCTGACCCAACCTCCGGTACCGGGATATCCCGCAGCCCACGCACAACCGCATCTCCTGCTGCATCCCGGTGACCCCGAGGTGCTCGATGACGACAGGCGAGAATGCCCTGTTGAAAGACGCGGAGAAAAAAGCCCTTCCGTGGTTGTTGGTGGTGTAGAGGAGCACATCACACTGGAAGCCGAAGCTGCTGTCCCAGCGGGCCACCAATGAGGTGGGCAGGAGTCTGTGGACGCTCACGTTGCACTGGGACAGAGTCTGCAAGGAGGAGGCGTCGCTCTCCTCCACAGACCTCTTGGAGACGCGCACGTCCACCTCCAGGTTGGCCAGGAACCTGCTGGAGGAGTTGATGGGCGGAAGGAGGAGGTCTTCGTCGCTCCAGCCTTGACATCGCTGGAGAAGTACGGCCACCGCGGTCAGAGCCAGCAGGAGAATCGGACAGTTGTTCAGCATGGCACAGGGCGCGTCTCTCCCGCTCGCATGGTGCTATGACGATCCGCAGGCGACGGACGAGGCGTGCACAGTGTGAAAAAGCCAGTCGCCAGTGATTTTTCAAAATGCAGCTCCCGATGGAGAGATTCAATTCCCTGCTCGACTGGTGTAAATGGAAACGTCCAAAGCCTATCACATGCGCGCATCCCCCCTCCCTTTGGATAATTTTATTCTGACTAGTTCTCCAAATCGCTTTACAAGGGAAGCGGTGGCACTGTGCGCTGCCTCCATCACAGCTCAGAGCTTCACTCCCACAGTGTCACTTTAGGCGAGCAGCTGAGCACCACAACACAGAGGAGTGGTCAGGGGAGAGCCTCCAGTGCGCAGGGACAGAAGCGCCCAGTTCAACCTACGCCTTCCAATCCACAGTCCTGTCGTTGGCGTGTTGAACACAACTTTATTTGTTGAATGAAACGAAACGGACTTATTCATTCGAGGCCAAACTTCAATCTTGGTGTGTCTGCCTCTATGACTCCGCGGACTGACATCGGTGTGTGTCACTATACCTGGCAACATACTGGCCAAGCTACTCCTCTGAGGCCGAGCAACATTAAACTTAATAGTCATAAGAATTTAATGTAAACAGAACCACAGCCAGAATTTCAGAAATTCTGGGGCCCAATTAACCCAAATGTACCCCCTCCTCTACAGCAAACACATCCACTTAACACCACAAGCATTGTCTTTGTGAGTATGTTACAGTGGCAATGCTCAACATTTAGCTCAAAACCACCAGTATAGCTGTACACTCTTGTTTAAGGGTAAAACTTTCTCTTGCTAAAAGACCATAGGATATGTCCCCAGTGTCCACAATCGGAAATGTGAGATGTAAAGGAAGAGATATAAACCAGGTTCTGCTGACAGAAATGCACATTTGAATACATTTTAGAATATCTAACCATATACATTTGGAGCTTTGTGTCAGGTTTGCCCAGCTCCCCCTTCCTCTCTTCTTCTTCCTCACACTAGCCTAGCCCTTGCACTGATTACACTATTCAACACACCTGCCCTGCTTCCCTGATTACTCACCAGCTGCACCTCATTAGTCTCCTCCATACTTATACACTGTTCACCAGTCACTCCCCTGCCAGTTCTTTCTCTGTCTTCAGGCCAGTGGTTGTTATGTTGTTTTATCAAGTTTATGCTAAGATTGTTTTTGTTCTCTCTAGTCCTTGTTAGCACCCTAGTCGTGATCCTGCCCTGCCGTCTCTAGTGTCTTCTTCCTCTTCGGACCTCTCCTCTGGACCCCCTGTCACTACCTTCACTGTAAATAAACCTCACTGCTTGCACCGAAGCCAGCCACCTGGGTCTGCTTTTTATCTGCTCGCTCACTCTGTGTTCGAGCGCACCCTAACAGAAAGAACTGGCCAGTATGGACCCTGCTGGCTCCGGTGCAAACAGCGCTTCTGTCCCTGCACACGTCACCACCCAAATGGACAGAATGGCTCAGGCACTGCAGCAGCAACAACAGGACATCTCCGCTCTCACCCAGCAGGTAGCACAACTCTCCTCGCTCCTATTGTCTCACCACGGTCACGCTGCCACCCCAGATCCACACTTTTCTGCTGCAGTGCCACCAGGTGTTCGATCAGCAACCACGGACATTTCACACGAACAGAGAGAAGATCAGTTATGTTATCAACCGGCTGCGTGGGAAAGCGCTTACCTGGGCCGAGGCTGCGGACACCAGTGGTATGCTTATTGGCACCACCATCACTGAGTTCCTGGCAGAAATACAGACAGTTTTTTCACCTGCATCTCATCAGGGCCAAGCTGCCAGGGAGCTCATGACTATCCGCCAGGGGGCTCGTCGGGTCCTGGATTACTCCATCGACTTCCGGGTGCTTCCGACGGAGGCTGGCTGGGAGGACCGAGCGTTACGCACGGCCTCAATGATAACATCAAGGCGGAACTGAACACTCGTGACGAGGCCCTGTCTCTCTGCTCTCTGGTAGACTTGGCCATCCGCATAGACAGACAGCAATGCTCTTTCCGCCAGGAAAGAGCAGGGCAGCAGTCGGGCCCCCGGACCTGCACCACGGCCACTCTACCTGCTGAAGCCCCG